ATTTATGGGCATTTGAGCTATCATGGAAGTCTCAGATCGCATTTACGGGCATTTGAGCTATCATGGAAGTCTCACTGATATTCACCAGGTTTCATTGTGGGAGAAGAGCATTTTTCCTCTTATGCTGTGTTTATTTGGTCAATATTGGCAAGTAGATTGTCTCCAAATTTGTTTTTTCTCTCATGTTCAACAGTGACATGCAACAGTCTAGCACACACGTAGCAAACAAGCACATAGCAAAAATGCGTTCTTATGTATAGCCTGAGATTCATACATAGCAAAATTTGCTCATAATGAAAATATTTCCACATCCAACTGTTTTTGTTAAGTGAGTTCTAGACTGTATCATGTTACAGCTAATACTGCTGGGCATTTGTTTGTGATACTGGCCAAGTGTTGGATCAAGGGTGGAGTCGTAGATACAGGGGTATTTTTTACTGCTTGGGTTACGCGTGTCTGATGACACTCAAAGACACATGTCTGTCTGATAACTCTCAAAGACACATGCCTGTCTGATAACTCTCAAAGACACATGCCTGTCTGATAACTCTCAAAGACACATGCCTCTGAGGATGTGTTGCTTTGCACTGATATGAGCACTGCTCTTTCTCCTTTAGCATAAGAATGGTTTCTACGGCTAGTATTTAACTGCCAAAATTAACGAATAAACACTGTATTTTCTCATATTGTCTAGCTAGTTTTGTTCTTCAAAGTAAACCAATGTTTCATTATTAACTCGTTCCTGCATTTATTCTGTTTTCTCATATTTGTAAAAATAAAAAATAACAAGTGCAGTCCTAATCAGATAAGGAGGGTGTGGATTTGTCATTGACTTGGATTAGATATCAACGGTTGTGTTGTACTTGTGAGAGGTTATGTTACGTGCTGCTGCTCCGCGCGGTGATGGAAATGTGTTGTAGTCCGCAGCGTCTGTGAATGTGGAGACTAGTGCGTGTGAAGTTAGCAGTGCATGTGTAGACGAAGTGCAAACTCTCTGATGTTGTTGCATGGCCGGTTTGTGATTGAGATGGATATTCACTAACCCCCCGGGGCAGTGCTACTGACTGAAGTGTCTTTACGCCATTCCCGAAGCGGGGACATTAAAATGTTCTTATGCACAGTAGAATTGTAATTGTAAATGGGCTGATTCATCAATGTCATGCTCATAACTGTGCCTGAACTGCAAAAGGGAACTGCTGCTTTTTCTTTCCTATTCCTTACTATTGTTTTTTTTCCTCTACTTCTTTTGTATGTTTGTCACACTTTTGTGACCCGCTATTTCCGGGGTGCCTTGATAGTCAAAGCAGACTTTGTGCTGTTGAAGCAAGAGAGGTGAGCAGAGTAAGTCTGATTCCCTGTAAGGTCTTCTCTGTTGACATCCACCCCTTGGCGCTCATAGACCTTATGCTGTTGCGGGCGCCGTAAAACCCTCTACTAAAAAAAAAGATATTCCCTGAGAGTATGTGAATGTTGTGATTGGAAGAAAAGTTGGTTGTACAGTGCACAGTGTATACGACAAGCAGCATTTGAAGTGGTTACTTTTTCAGATTGCTGTGAATATTTGTGCAACGTCAGTAAACATAGTGACAAGAATAAAAGGTGTTTTCAGATTTAGAGCTTTTGAACTTTACTTATCATTGGTGTAGTTCTTGGATTGAACAAGCCCTTTAACACCTTGCCATCATACTTTGGGGAAATTCCAAAGAAACTGGGTGGTAAACATCGCCAGTCGGCGAGATGAGGCGGCAAAGTGTTAAAAATGAATTGAAATGAGGGGAAATGGATGGGGCTAGTGGACCACAAAGATGTTCATCTCAGGAGAATTACTCTCTTCTAGTCCATGTCTTTTTTGCTGTTGGTGGTG